AAGAATAAGACACTATTTTCTAAAATAATTCTAATTTTTAGTTTTCCTTTTTAAAAACATTTACAATTCTTAAATTAGGAAACTGATGTGTCTGGAAATATTCAAATGAATATAATATACATTGTTTAACAAATTTTATTTAAACTATATAGAAACTGAGTTTCTATGCATGCGGTACTGACGTTTTAGACCAAAAAGCCAGACTGAATTTCAGATGGTCCGGCTCCGATTCCAATTCTGTACAGATTTTTGATTTTCTTTATGTAAAAAAAATCTGGTTTTAGTATTGAAAAAATTGCAAATTTAATTTATTTAACTACAAGTAACTGACATTTACACAAAACAGTAAAGTAGTCAAAGAACTCGAATCTCTCAACACAATTAAAACTGGACCATCTTATGTAGTCAAATTTTTGTCTGGATTTTTGGTCTAAATTAAACCGAAATGGCTTTTACTCGTAGAAAAAACTATTTAAATTAAAAATATTATGATATTGAAGCTTATAAAAATTAACCGGTTAATCAATTTAAACGGTTAAAATTTATTAAAACCTTTTTTTTTTTATTCAATATTGCCTATACAAAACTCCTTTAAAACAGACCGCGTGCAATCCACAACACTACATTTTTATTTTATTTTAGAAAATCGTTACTAATATTTTATTTTTTAAAGTAGTTGAAATTCAAATGAATTACACACGGTATGTTCACCAATCTCTTCCAATAGCTTAGGAAATATAATTATTTGATGTAGAGAAAATCTTAGTACAACATTAGAAAGGCAATTAACAAGTTGTTATAAATGAAAATACGTTTATTATTTATCTTTAATAAAGCACATGATGTCAGCGTTGGGTCTTAAAGCACTGCACGGCGAACGTTTGAACAAAAAAAAAAAAAAACACTGGGACATACACATTCGGCCCCGAAAATATTCCCAGACCTAGTAACTATAGATCCTTGTTAAGTGTATGAATAAAATTCAGAGACGACTCGTCTGGTAAAAAACGCACGCAAGGATAATTTACTCTATGGGCTAGTGTATAAAATATAATGTAAATATATATATATATATATTTTACAATATAGATTTACTTGAGCGATACCGCGGCACCCGCTGAATACTGTACATTGTCCTCTCACGGTTACTCTATTATACTGTGTGTATTATTATTATTATTGTTACATTCAAATGCCAATATATTTTTCTTTTTCTATCTGGGAAACGGTTTTGGCTATTCGGATCACGTGCTCGGCCGGCAAAGGGCGGCGTGTAGCACCGGCGGCGGTACAATCATCACCTCGGCCTTTCTGTATACATATACTAATAGTAATAATAATAATAATAATAAAAAAAAAAGAAAGGTCTGGGGGTGATTTTTCGGCGACGACCTAAGTCACTGCCGCCGCCATCGGAAAGTCTTTTTCCACACATACAGGGTAATCCGAATTTCACGGTATATGTATTTGTACATTTTATCCATGAACGGTGTGTTTGCATCAAAACCTACCCACGGGTGGCTTTATCAGCTGCTGTTGATAGATTGTGGTCTGGTGGGTTCCTATATTAGGATCAAGCTGGAAGGAGATGTTTGAAATTCGATAAGACCGGGTTTCATCAACGTTTCAAACGTTTTGATTGATGTAACAATATTCATTACAAGAGCACAAAAGTATTGATAAATTATGATTTAAAATTAATTCCAGACTTATCTGATAAAAATATCTGAATTTTAACAAACAAATTACCTAGATGTCGATTGTTAAGAGATTAACTTTTTTTATTTAAATATTACATTTTATAAAAGGATACTAATTGTTATCAAGAAATTATGAAAAGACATTAATTGCTATAAAGATAATACGATTGTTGTCTGGATAATACAAAGATCTAGATCAAAATATCTAAATTTTCACAAAAAAAAAGTACTTAGATAATACTGTAAACAGATTAACTTTTTTAAATTTAAATTATACATTTTATAAAAGGATATTAACTGTTATCTAGATATTATAAAAATACATTAATTGCTATAAAGATAATACGATTATATATTAATTGTTATCTAGATAATACAAATATATATAAATTGTTATCTGGATAATACAAAGATACATTAACTGTTCTTTAGCAATTAAAGAGATAATAATTTTTACCAAGATAATTATTTAAATAATTTATCCAGATGATGCAAAACACCAATGTTTTGATCCCATACCTTTCAACAATATTGCCGTTTTAAGATGTATGCTAGGTGTGAGGTATTGAAGTTAGTGTGCTGTTACTTACACCAAACTGTGAGACTTTGGCCGGCCTAATTTCAGTTTTAAGATTTTTTTGACTTCTTCGCTGGGTTAAGTAGAAAATGTATCAATTTTGAAGGTAATCAAATTGAATTTGAAATTTATTCTATTTATAAAAACGCGATTTTCTTACATCAAATTGTTGAATGGAAGACGTTAAAAAACCGATCACTTTTAATCCCATTAAAAAAAACAGTTTTACACCTAAACATTAAAAATTATTTTCGTTGATAATTTTATACTTTAATGACGATTTCATTTGAACCTTTTTATTAATTTTTGGCCAACACGGGTAAAATAACGTTAAACTTGGATAACCCTGTATGTTAAGAAACATAAATATGTAATATAAAGCAAAGAAGAAAATGCCACTGCGGCGGAGAGCCTTTTGTGTTTGGACAAAGGATACAATTTGAGGCGTTAAAAGTATTATTTTTCTCGGCCAGACGACGTGACACCCCGGTCCGTTTATTATTTTCTTTTTATCAGATGTACTCATACCTATGTATTTCTTTTTTATCTATTTTTTCTTCTTGTCATTTTCACACAATACACACACACGAGCGGTAAAACGACTTTCCGCCGGTGATAATTCATAAAAAAAAACTCCTATAGAGGTTTGTGATGGAGTTTATTGGTTTTCTAAGTCTAATGTGGTTTTTTTTTTATTTATTTCATCTTGAATATATATATATATATATATCCAAGGATATACAATATACAGACACAGTTTTAACTTTTTATAACAGTTTTTAACCCATCAAATTTTAGACGCTGTTAAAAGAAAGGCAGTAATGTTAATAATTTTACCAATTCGGTTTTCGATGGTTTATTAACCGGTAGTACCTATTTATATATATTTTTTTAAGAGCAAAGTGTTAAGCATGATTGTCCGTTAAATTGGGGGGGGGGGGGAAATAATCATGCTGATTTGGTTTGGAGAAGAGCTGTAATATCTCAATATTGTGTTATGCCATAGGAAAGCAATTAAAGGACAGTAAAAAAAAACCAAAACAGTACAAACGGTATTAATAATACATTTTATTAATAGTGTATTCGAATAATAGTAAAATTTAGAATACTCATACGCTATAATGTTATTATAATATACGATTAAATTAACCGTATCGGATGTAACAAATTCAAAATATGTACAAACCGTTGTAGCGATACTAAATTGTAAGCATTCGATTGAAGCACCTCTTGGGTACGAGCAACAGCTAAATTAAAGATACCGAGGTATGGTTTAAATATATCTTATATCACTAGCTACAGTATAATATTATATTATCATTATCATTATTATTGCTAACGGGATACTAATAGTTAATATATAATATTGCACGGTTCGCGATCAAAGATACATGATAATATTATAATACAAAATATACACAACATATAGATAATTGGTAATGGGTTTTCACTACATGTCGACTGGTTTAGAATGAAACAAAAAGTTACACAATACATTACACAGAACAATTTTAAATTAATATTCATCGAAAATATGAATTTGACTACATTAAAATGAAACAGATCATTTTTTTTACAAAATACCTTTGAAAGTTTATCAGATTTCAACTGAATGGGACGACAAGTGCCACACAGTCTTCTGAATACTTATCATTGTGCCATTATTAGCCATAGAAAACGGTGGTAATACTTACAATTGTGTTACATATAAGTTTAGTGGGACCTAATAGTAATGGGTATAAAAAAAAATTTAATTTGTATTAACGAAAAAATATATTTTCAAAAATAATTTCTATTATTTTAATTCGAAATAAAAATTAAGTACTTCCAACTAATAATTGTTGTTAAGCTGAAAATACTAACAGAATTATTCTAAACATTTTTTTTAGTAGGGAATCCTTCTATAAATACCAGGGTAAACTAATGGTTGAAATCAGTAAATTTTTATTTGAATTAAAATAATAGAAATCATTATACAAATTTATTTTTTAATTTGTTTATGATTTTTCAAATTTTTGTGTCTTATAGAGAACTATGACAGGTGCTTTCGAAGGCTTTGTGACATGTGTTCCAATAGTTCAATTCAGTTGAAATTTGGCCTACTTAGGTTCTTAAAGATAATTAAAGCTTGGGCCCCTCCCAACAAAAAAAAAAAATTAAAATAAGAACATTCCTACTACACATGTAGCCTTAAAAATTTTAAATGTATTGCACCTTAATTAAATTTATATCTACTTAAATCTTAACGAATCAATTATGAATTATTATCTATGTGATTGTTCAAAAAGTAATTTTAAATAAAACTAAAATATAATTTTTTTTTTTTTGTTATCTAGATAAGATGAAAATACAAGAACCGTTATCCAGATAAGATTAAAAGATAGTATCTCGATAAAAGATAGTATATTGCTGTCAGATTAGTTGTCTATAATTTAATGCACGGCAGTTTACAGTTGGTCTATTCGTCGACCAGGTGACGTTTCGGCGTTGCGAACTTGTCGGTTGTTGCACATCATCAGCTGTTGGTGCAACTGTTGGAACCACCACGGCGTGCCCGGCTGGGCGGACGGCGGTGGCGGCAACGGCGGCGGCGGGAACGTGGACATCATGGACGTTGGGGACGGCGCGGACGGCGGCGGCGGCCACTGAGGCGGCCAGCTGCCGTCGGACTGCAGGTTCGCCGCGGCTGCGGTGGCCGGTTCCGATAGAACCGGCAGCGGCTTTCATATGACCTGCTGCTGCTGCTGCTGTTGCGGCGGCGGCGGCATCAGGTCCGGCTTGACGACCACGGCGATCGGCCGCTTGACAGCCGGGGACGTGGACGGCGGCGGTGACGGGGCCGACGACGACGACGACGATTCACGCACGGACCGCGGCGGTTGTTGTTCACCGTGGTGGCCGCATTCCGCACAGTCGGCGGGGCACGCGGACGCGGTGGTGGCCGCCGCGGCCGCCGTCATCATCGGCCACGCGTTGGCCAGCGACACGGCGTGCGAGTACAGCGAGCTGCCGTAGAGCGCGTGCAACGCAAGGTCGTGCACGGCCTTGCCGGCGACGGCCTCGTGGCCGACGGCCGCGCTCACCGACAAGTCTTTGGCCACGTGCTGGTAGAACGCCGGGTAGTGATGGGGCTGGTGATGGTGATACGGCGAGAAGTAGGCGCGCGGCGGAAACCGCACGGGCGCCGCGCCGACCGGCTGTTCCGCGGCGGACGCCGTCGAGCCGGCCGACTCCTGTGGCAGCAAGTCCCGCACCGAATACGGCACCGCGCTGGGCTTGACGCTCGCCGGTACGGCAACCGGTTCCTTCTTCTGTATCATAGTCTTGGGCTTGCGACGTGGCCGGTACTTGTAATCGGGATGTTCTTTCATGTGCAACGCTCTGTAGACAAAAATTACATCACAATATTATCAGTTGGGGTTGGAAATAGTATACTGTTATAAGAATATATTATTATATTAGTCAATATAGCCAATATATTATATTTATAAGAAAATTAACAAGGGCAGTGCTTCCGGTGACTCGAATTACAGGTACACCAGGTCATAAGTTTCAGACGTTAAGCCCGAAAACTTGGATCAAAAAGTTCTTCTTAGCCGAACAGAAATTGTTAGTGTGTAAAATAAATATTCCAAAAACCGTGTCTGTGACGTTGTACCGTCTTGAAGTAATTAAGCCGACTTAATGAAATCACAACAAAACGCTAAATTAATTGGAAAATATGAAAAACAATAACAACAACTTTTATAAACGATCAAGGCGAATAAACTAAGTTACTCGACGATGACCCTTCGGATGTAATAAACATATTGTCCTCGCTGATACAAGTTTAGTCGAATAATCGTATTACTCGACTTGGAGACTAAATAATCAAAGCTTTGGCGCAATAAGATTCTGTGAATGTTCCGTTGATATTAATGAAATTAACGAGAATCAGTGTCGCGCTCTAATGACTTTATTGAATAATTAATATCCTTCGTCAAAAATCCCGCCATGAAAATAATACGAATTTTGATAGTTTGTTCGACTAAATTAATTATCAAATATACATTTCCTTAGTAATATAATTAAATATTATAAAATTTGTCTTGAACCATAAGTTCTTCGAAAGACATTTTTATGAGTATTTTGATTTTGTTAATGTATATTGGAACAATTTCAGTTCTTATCTTAAAATTATATTAGGTAGACATGTATCGCATACCAGCCGCTTAATTTATTAATATGTGAATTTATTTTAGCTGAGAAAACTTCGTTGTTTTTACAATGGTGTTTAATTCGCCATCTTTTATTAATTGTTTATTTTTAGATTGGAATGTTTTATATTTTTATTGCTATTAATGTTATAATTAATATTTAAAATAATACTAATTGATACATTTTTTAAATTATCTCCGTTACAAGTATGGTGA